CAGAAGCTCTTTCTAAAAATATCTCTTTAACTTCATTGAGTCTTACGTTAAATCAACTCGGTTTTAAAGAAGCCGAGATATTGGCAGAAGCTCTTCGCAAAAATACTACTCTTACTTCCTTAAATCTTTCTTATAATCAACTTGGTTTTGAAGGAGTAAAAACAATGGCAGAAGTTCTTTGTGTGAATAATACATTAACTTCTTTAAACCTTGGATATAATAGTGTTTCTTTTGACGGAATCAAAGTGCTATCAGAAACTCTTTATCAAAACACTACCTTAACTAATATAGTTCTTTTTGGTAATAACCTTACTTTTAAAGAAGGGCAAATACTAGCAGAAGTACTTTGCAAAAATACCACTTTAACTTCATTGGACCTTAGTAGTAATCTGATTGGTTATGAAGGGATAAAAGCATTGGTGGAAGCTCTTTGCAAAAACACTACTTTAATTGAGTTAAATATTTATAATAACAAGCTTAACTTTAAAGAATACAAAACATTAAAAAAAATTCTTTACAAATCTAATACCTTAGTTTCGTTAAAATATATGCGTGATTATGAATTTTAAAAATTAAAATTTATATTTATTAGAATTTGCACATATAGCAACTTTGTCACAAAATATAAACATGAATACATCTTTATATATTAATTTTATATAATTTAAACATTTCTAATAAATTTAACTTAAAGCAATTAGTATGGCCACTCCAAATTGATTCTTTATTTAACATAATGTTAAATAGTTCATATAGTTCATAAGAGTGGGGAAGAGTATATAAAATACACAAAAAAATACAGCATTTCTATTAGTTGCATGCCAGGGTGGAGGATCAAACAAGATTGAACAGGGTGAACAACTAATAATAAAAAAACTAAAACAGGCTGTAATTCAATTACAATGATAAAGGATTAAAATTTATAGGAGCACAGAATATTAGAATAAAGCCGATTATCTGATAATAAACTTTTTAAAAGACTTTGCTAGAGCAATTCATGATTACAAAAATTCTATAATATTGGTAAATGCTACATACAGTAAGATGGATTGATTGCTACTGAGTAAAGTACTTGCAATTTACGGGTTGAAATTGTTATCATAGGATTAAAAAAAATAAATACAAAAATTAATAATTCTTTCTCCTATATAAAGTTCAAAAATTAAGTTTACTAAGTGATGATCTACAAAGTGAAGTGAAAAAACTTAATTAGCTTTTAACATTAAGGAAAGGCATTAAAAAATGCTCTTTACTATCCAATAAGAAAAGCATTGAAATATCTTCAAAATATAAAGTAAAACCTAAAAAATTTTTTATTATAAGAGAAATTTTGTTTCAGAAATTAAAATGCTTTGGTATGTTTTGAAATCGCATGCAATTTAATGTGAATTAAATTCTGCGTAGTACTCCATGTTATACAGATTATTGAAAATGATTTTTTTTATCGACGTAATTTATAGCTTTGAGTAAAAATATGATTAGAAATTATACATTTGCATTATCTGTCTTTAACACTTTTTCAATAAATTATTTCGTGAAATTACAACTACTATTTTATCCATTGAACAACAACGTTCAGTCTTTTTGTGGGGCGATTTCTCTTTAAACTCTATTTATATTTCATCAGCTACTATGAAGTTTAATTATTCGATCAAAGGTGTTAAGATTCTGAAAATTATAACTCGTAAGCACATAATTATTACAGATAAAAAAGTGCAACATTGCGCTAATATCAATATAATATGTTGTTAGCTTTATTATTCGAGTCTCTTAAGAACTGACCTGAGTCATGTTTCAATTTGTGAAAATTGTAAAATGACAACGTATGTACTAAAAATCACATTGCACTACCAAATTCATATACTCCCTACTCTTAAACTAACTATTCCATTAATTTCATTTATTTTTAGCTTACCATTATCTGGCGAAAAATCAGTACTTTTTATTGTGCAATCAAAACTTAACTTGAATACTGATTAAGATCTAAGCATAATGCGTATTGGTCTATTTCATAAATCCAAGCGTCAAATACCTTTCCTCCTCCCTTATTTTCATAAGGTTGTTTTTTTATGAATTTTGCAAATACGCCTTTTGGCAATACAAAGTAAAAGTTAATTTTAAGAGATTCATCCAAAATTCCCTTGATCATCCTTAATCCATCTGGTTTGATACTATGTCTAAAACTATCACTTGCAGTCATACTTACACCTTATACCACTGTTACTTTTGTAAAGTTTTTGTTTACCCCGTTACCCATCTTTCTGT